CTTTAGGACACTTTCTACTAGGATCCAAGAGACACGTTGGCCAGTCTGCTTGTTCTCTAAAAGTTTTGGGTTATTTGCTCAACTTTCTGATGAGGAGCAGAGGCCCGGCGGTGCTCCATGACTGATGGCAGGCTCTCCCCTCCACTGTCCTCTAGGATCAGCTGCCCCTCTCTTCACCTGCTGCGTGGTCTGCTGTCCTTGCCAGACCTAGTGGCCCTCCTGCTGACTGGGTTTCCCCCGTGGCAGCTACTGTAAACCTCCCAGCAACCTCCAGAGTCTGCCTCACGGCCCCAGATGCCGCTGCAGGGGCAACCAGCCCGTTTCACCGAGGAAGCTGCAGTCTTGCGGCCCCTTCAAGTGTCTCTCGCTGTCCCCCGGCCCCATCTAAAATGTCTGCCACCTCCTTCCCTTCTGGTGTGTTCACCAGCTGCTCCCCTGCTCGCTTCCCCACCAGTCTGCCCTCGGCCCCTCTGTCACAGATCCGCCCATCCTATCCTTGTTTCCTGAGGAGGAGCCGCCCCCAAGGCCAGAAGCTCAGGCTCCAGGGCTCAGCCAGTCCCCTGCAGCCTCATGGGACTTGGTGACAAGGACAGATATTCCCATAATCTCCCGAGTCCCTCCTCAAAGCCGACACACTTGCTTTATTATCTACTTTCTGGCAAAGAATAACAACAATAGCAACTAAGAAGCCGCAGCCCTGTGTCCTCGGGTTCCTACTCTGTGCTCTCCTTGCTCCTTCAGCCAGGCTTCCAGAAACAGCTGGCTGTGTTCTCCGCCCCTCGTTCCTCACCTCCCGCTACTTACTCCGAAATCCTGCAAAATGTGCCTTTTTTCCCAGTAGTCCTTGAGGCTGCTCTTGATAAGGCCACGGGAGAGGCCCCCACTGTTTGCTGCAGGGCCCCCTTCCGATGTGCGGACACTCGCTTCTCCGAGGCTGTCCTCGGCCCTCCACCCGGGCAGCCCCTCAGGACTCTCCCCTCAGGCTCCTTTTCTGTTCTGATTCCCTGGAGTTTTGACTCGCGGCAAACTGCTGGTGTCCATGTCTCCACTGCGGGTCCAGCCTGACCGAGCGTGGGTCAGCCTGAGTCGGCTACAGCAGGCGCAGAGGGTGGTAGTGAAGGCCACAGGCGAGGCCAGTGCTTGGGGACCCAGGACAGTGGGTGTGCAGGCCTTTGACACTTGGGGGACCATAAACTGAGGGTGATCAGGGGAACAAGGCGATGCCCCTGACCTGCAGGTTTCCGACTTGGGGGACGGCTAGAGGGCAGGCCCTCTACCAGGAGGACACATCGGAGAGGCCAATTTGTAGCTGAAGGTGTCACGTTCAGTGTTGGCTCTGTTGGGTTGGAGGTGCCTCGAGATGATGTGCAGCAGGCCCTGACATAGGAGCACAGCTCGGGAGAACCATCCGGAGTTTCTTGGAGAGTGTGCAGAAAGAGCCACCGGCCTAGCTCGAGCCGAGGCCTGAGGGGGAATTCTACTGAAAGGGAGCCGCCTGCACTGACTCCACCAGCTAGGGGTTGACCAAGTGCCCTGCCTGGCGGCCTGCTCCTGTAAGCGCCACTCACCGGGCTACCCCTGCACCACACCTCCTCCTCCGCCCTCATCCACTAGCCTGTGCTCTCCCGAGACCCACCCCAGGCCTGCCAGCGCCCCTCCCAGCTTTGGTCCTCCCGCAGATCAGCCCTGACACCCTCAGCAGTGCCAGCGGCCCTGGCTTTGTTTGCATTGCCTGCAACTTTCTGTCTCCATGGTCTGCCGCCTCTAGGGTTCAGGCAGGGACTCGGGGATGCTGGCCCCGCTCCCTCGGGTGCCTCATTAACATCTTGGTGCCACTGTCCCACAGAGAGCGCCAGGCGAGCAGCTCTGAGGCTGCTTGTTATTATCACTCACTGAGGAGCTTGAGGTATCTGCCATCGCCATGGCGACAGTTACATAAGCTAGAACAAACCAGGGGTCACTTCCGGCAGTGGGAGCCCCAGGAAGCTGGGGGCATGCTGACCATTTCGGCCTAAATCTGGGCTGTCGTGCCGAGCAGCCTCGGCAGTGACGGTGGCTCTGAGTCGAGTCGCGGACTCGCTGACTCATGACAAGAGACACCAAGCAACACTATCTCCTGTCTCTCTTCCAGATCTTTCCTTCTCAGTCTATTTTGTGGACACCTCCTTCTCTATTCAACTCTTTTCCTCTTCATTTCGTTTCTTTCTGTTGACGTGACGTTAGTTCAGAACACTGCACAGGTTTCAGGTGTACAGCTGCTCACCTCAGCACCTGTATGTCACTCCATAACCACCACCAATGTCCGGTTACCATCTCTCCCCACCTGTTGGCCCCTCTGCCTTCCCCTCCTTCCTCTGGTAGCCACTATTCTGTTCTCAGAGTCAAAGGGAGTTTATTTTTGATTGTTCCTTTGCTTTCCCCCTTTATATTTCATAAATGAGTGAAATCATATGGTATTTCTCTTTCTCCTGACTTATTTCACTTAGCCTAACACCTTCAAGTTCCATCCCTGTTCTTGAACATGGCACAACTTCATCTTTTTCATGGCTGAGTAGTATTCCCCGGCGTTGCTATGCACATCTCCTTTATCCACTCACCCACTGATAGACACACAGGCTCTTCTATATCTTGGCTCTTGTGAATAGTGCTGCAGTGAAAATAGGGGTGCAGGGATCTATTCTGCCCCCAGAAGTGGTATTACTGTATCACATGGTCGTTGTCTTTTTAAGAAAAGACACTGAGAAACTTTTGAGAAACTTCTGTACTGTTTTTCAAAGAGGCTTCACTTATTCTCAGCAACTGTGCACAAGCATTCCTTTTGCTCCTCGCCTTGCGACACTGTTTTTTGACTTTGATAATGGCCATTTTAACTGGTGTGAGATGAAACCTCATTGTGGTTTGACTTGCATTTCCCTAATGATAATCGAGGCCGAACATCTTTCCACGTGTCTGCTGGCATCTATATGTCCTCTGGTGAAATGCTTACTTAGATCTTCAGCCCATTTTTTAATCAGGTTGTATTATTTGTGGTTGTTGCGTTGTGCATATATTTTGGATATGAACTCCTTGTCTGATACTTGGTTTGCAAATATCTTCTCCCACGCAGTAGGCCGCCTTTTCATTTTTTTCTCTCTCTCTCTTTTTAAAAAAAATTTATTTATTTATTTATACAAGCACTGGGTATAGTCAGAAGCGCGGGAGGGTGAGAGAATTCACCAGAGCCAGAGCGGGGAACAGAACAGGCAGACTGACGAAGCACACTGCTGAGGGGAGCAGCGGGCGAGACAGGAGAGGTCTGTCGTGCCATGTGGGACCCTCGCCGGCAGCCGGGGATCAAACTGGTGCTGCAGAGGCTGTGGGCAGCTTCGCAACCCAGCGCTCAACCGCTGCGCCACCGGGGGAGGCCCCGCTTTTTTATTTTTATGATGGTTTCTTTTGCTGTGCATAAGCTTTTTAGTTTGATGTAGTCCCATTTATTTATTTTTGCTGTGGTTTCTCTTGTGTTGGAGATGAATCCACCTCTCTAAGGCTGATGTCAAAGAACTTATTGCCAGTGTTTTCTTCTATGTATTTTATGGTTTCCACTCTTACCTTCAGTCTGAAATCCATTTGAATAAATGTTTGCATCTGGTGCAGGCAGTGGTCAGCTTTCATTCTTTTGCACGTGGCTATTCAGTTTCCCCAACACCTTTTAGTAAAGAGAGTGTCCTTGCTTCCTAGGATGCTCTTGGCTCCTTTGTCATAAATTAGTCTTATTACTCAACTCTTAAATGTTGGGTTCCCCAGGGTTCTGCCCAGGAACCTCGCTTCGTATTCTCCCACATCCCTAGTGTGGGCCAATCTCCACCCAAATAGCTCACTGCTCTGCCCACTGGCCTCAGGCTCCATGGACGCCATCTCCTCCAGTGTTCCCGGCTCTCTGCTCTCAGCCCCTCCACCACCTGTGGACACAAGGATCTTTCCAGACTGTAAAGCTGTTCTTGTCATGCTCCTGCCAGTCCTTCCAAGGCTCCCCTAGCCCAGAACAGAGTACTGATTTGGGCCCCTGCCTCTGGCGCCCCTGCGAGCTCCCCCTTCGCCCTTATTTTCCCCTCAGGCCCTCGTCCTCCCCAAATTTCTTCCTTGTTTCTAAGCTTGAGGGACATTATTTGGGGGATGCTGGAAAGAATGTGATGGAAACCAAAAGGAAGGCACCCCAGAGATAGTGCTCCTGGTTGAAGCAGCCAATGACAGATGAGATCCTGCCTCAGGTGTGTGAGCTCTGAGGGGTCTCAGGTGAGGAGACAGGAGAGGAGGGTTAGGGGCGGGGTCACTGGCCATTGCCTTGGGTCAGGGAGAGACATCTCCTCCCTTGGGGCAGAACTTTGGAGGCAGTGGCTGGTTTGGAGGCGTTCAACAGCCTACGCGTGTGGCAGACCCCTACAAAGCAGGGATAACAGAAGGTGCTTGTCAAAAAAATTAACTGGACTGGGCCTCCCCGGTGGCGCAGCAGGTTGAGCGCAGCACTGTGAAGCTGTCCGCAGCCTCCGCAGCATGAGTTCAATTCCCAGCGGGCCAGGTTGATTCCCACATGACGCGGCAGACCTCACCTGTCTCTCCTGCTGCTCCCCTCAGCAGTGCTTTCGGTTGTCTGCCTGTTCTGCTTCCCGCTCTGTCTCTGGTGAATTCTCTCATCCTCCCGCGCCTCTGACTGTACCCCAGTTCTTGTATAAATAAATAAATCTTAAAAAAAATTTAACTGGACTAAAAAAACAAAACAAAACACCTTTTGCAATTTAGCACTGCAATTACACCGCCTACCAGGTGGGGGAGCCCGGCATCAGTGGGCTTTATGCTGGAGGGCCGGGCCTTACGCCATGTGGGCTGGGGCCCATCAGAGCAGTACTGGGGTGCCGGGGTTTGCCAGCTGGGCCCTGCTTCTTCTCTTTGCCCACCTGCAGATCTCCTGCTGTTGGGCGCCAGGGTCCTCTGTGATCTTGTTCTTGGCCTTTCCCTGGCAGGTGAGGGGCTCAGCCATACATGGAGGATGACAGAAAAATCCAACGGCGTGAAGAGCTCCCCAGCCAATAACCACAACCACGCACCCCCTGCTGTCAAGGCCAATGGCAAAGATGACCGTGGCACCAGTAGCAGGTGAGTCTGCTGAGGCCAAGGATTTGTGGGGTGGGCCTGGAGGCTGGGCTTCTCCCCAGCTCTGCTTCATTGCCACAGAGCAAGCCAACTTTGGGTCAAAGAACCCTCTAAAAGGACCATGAGGTTTCTGGGCACCACCCAGGAGCGGCAAGCACTGATGGGAGACAGGGTTTGCTCAGAGAACCTTGGTCGACTCTGCTCCTTCTCCTGCAGGCCACGGTCTGCGGCCGACGATGACACCTCCTCTGAACTGCAGCGGCTGGCGGACATGGATGTCCCGCAGAGGGGCCGGCGCGGCTTCCAGAGGTGGGGCCCACCACTACCAGCTCCCCTGCCCTGCCAGGGAACCTGTCTGAGTGGCTACCTCAGGCCTCTCCAGAGACCTGTGGAAGCATCGTCTGTGCTGTCCTGGCTGGTCTCTGTCCTTCTGACAGTACCCTTGAGCAAGCTCGAGATACCAGGAGAGGCTCCCCTTCAGTCTTGTCTGCCTCAGTGTCAGGGGAGGGATCCTTTCCAGCCGGGGGCCTGGGTGGAGGGCCTAAGACTTCTGCCCCAGGACCGTGGGCTCCACAGGGAAACGGGGGGCCTGGGTTAGCCCTCCTCCTGGCCTGTCCTCCCTTCTCACAGCCTGTCTTGCCCTGGAGATCTGCCTGTCACCATCAGTAACTGAGATGGCGCTTCCTCTAGGAAGTCTTGCCAGGATATGGCTTTGCCCCTCGGGCTACATGGGGAGTCAGGCCTGAGTCCTAGCCCAGTTGTTAACAGGGGGCACCCTGACCTGGCCTGTGCCCACGATTTCCTGTCCGCCCCCCTCCCTCGCCAGACAGTGGGCCCTGGGAACAGCACTTCTGCCCTCCGGCTCACGCCCCCCTCCCGCCCTAGGATCGTCCGCCTGGTGGGGGTCATCAGGGAGTGGGCCAACAAGAACTTCCGTGAGGAGGAGCCGAGACCTGACTCGTTCCTCGAGCGCTTCCGTGGTCCAGAGCTCCAGGCCGTGACAACACAGCAGGGGGACGGCAAAGGCGACAAGGACGGCGATGGCAAGGGCACCAAGTACAGCTGGCGGCGGCGGGGAGGGCTCGCTGCGGTTTCAGCCACCCCTGCCAGGCAGGGAAACTGGCGGTGGGGGACGGCCGGGTTCACCCTAGGGCGCTCTGCTCAGCTGCCTGGTGTCCCCTGGCTGCCCTGGGCTGGGAGGGCGCCTGACCCAGGGGGTGTCGCTCCCGTCCCAGTTCCTCAGTCAGTCCCTGCAGAGGGGTGCAGGGAGGGAGCGATGAGGGCCTGCCTGTGCCAGCATACCAGGGTGCAGAGCCTAGCTTTGAAGAGGCCCTGCTAGGGCTGGCTGGTGGGGCAGGCTGGGGACAGTGGAGCAGAAGGAAGCTGGGGTGGGGGGTGGGGGCAGAGGGGCCGGGTTGGAGGGCCTATTCCTGAGGAATGAGGAGGCGAGGCGGATGTCTGGCCAAAGCCGACATTCCGCACCTCTGGCCAGTGGCGGAAAGAGCTCTGGCCAAGGCAGGATGGAGCAGCTGGGAAAGCAATTTGGGGACTGGAGGCCCAGGACCCAGCGGAGAGGGTGGAGGGGGCAGGAAGCATGTGGGCTCACTGCCTTGGGGTTCCTCTCCCCCCTCAGGAGGACTGGGGATACACCCTGGGCCTTTATCACCACCCTGGGCAAGTCCCTACCTGCCAGCAGCTCCGTCCCTAGCATGCCCCCTGGCAAAGGGGGTTCCAGAGGGCCTGTGAGCCCAGGGTCTACCTGCAGGCAGTGTAGGGAGAGGAGTGCCCCTTCCTCACTGAACGCTACTCAGGTCCCTGGTACCAGGCTGGGAGGCCCTGACAGCTGGGGTCCTGTGCCACTCACCCGCACCACGCACACCTCTTTGGGCAGTGCTTGCTCAGGGATGCCTGCGCTCTGGGACTGGGGTGCTGTCTCATGGGGAACCCAGTCCCCACGCCTGGTCTTGTCTCCTCAGAAAGAAATTTGAGCTCTTTGTCTTGGACCCAGCCGGGGACTGGTACTACCGCTGGCTGTTCATCATCGCCATGCCTGTCCTCTACAACTGGTGTCTGCTGGTGGCCAGGTGAGAGGCCGGCACCCCCGTGCGCTGTCTGGGTTTCCTGTGGGCCGACAGCCCTTCCCTGTGCCCCTCGAGCCTCCAATGACTTACTGCAGCACCAAAGCCATCCTTGCCCTGGCGGCGCCATCATTCCCAGCTCTCCACCTCCGCCTAAGCCGTCCCGGGTGACCCCAGTTGTCTCCAGGGGCAACTGTAACAGCCCTGCACCCATCCAGGCGGGCACTCTTGTCCCCTCCAATGCGCCCACCACACTGGCAGCTGGCACAGTTGCTGGGAGCTGGGATGGGATTCTGCTTCTCCCTCTTCACACACCCAGCAAGGGCCCCCAGCGCCCACAGGGAGAGAAATTCAAGCCCTCAGCATGGCCTTCAGGGGCTTCTGGACCCAGCCTTCTCTCTAGCGCCACCTTCTGGACACACCCCGCCCTAGCACTTGCTGTCTAGGGTCAGGACAGGCCCTTGGCCCAAGACAAAATCCCTCCCTGACCTTCAAGCCCAGGAGAGTCTGGCTGCGGGCGCAGGGGCAGAGCCACTCTGCACACGCGCTTCCCGCCCGATTCCACCCGCCACAGCCACGCATTCGGCGACGGTCTCGCTGGGCACCGGGGCCAGGCTCCGAGCTCAGTGCTGGGGAGGCTGTGTGGACAGCACTCGCCCGGTCTCTGCTCGGGCCACTGGGGGACATTGGTGGGGGACACTGCCATTCAAGGGGCTGAAGACAGGCGGTGAGGAGAGGAAGGGACCTCTGTAAGGAGGCGCCCCCTTAGCTGAGAGCGCACAGTGAGAGAGAGGCAGCTATTTAGATGCCCCGCTTTGGTAGAGGGAACATCCTGGGGAGAAGGAAAAAGCGGGCAACACCCCCTAGCAAGGCCGGAAGGCCCAGGCCAGTCCTGCAGGCGCGGGGGTTGCGGCTTCACTGGCGATGTGACCACGTCGCCGGAAGGACTGCTCGTCCCGCGGCCTGAGCTCACTCACTGGGTCATCCTCCTGGGTTCTGTGCCCGTCTCTGTCCCCTCCCTAGGCCGCCAGCCTCTCCCCGGTCCCACTGCCTTGCGCCTCAGCCCAGCACCGCCCTCTCACCCGCATGGATCACGCTCTGGGCCGGGCTCTCTCCGCGGGGGGAGGCTGAAGAGATGGGCACGGGGCCGCTGAGCTGTGTGCCGCGGCTCGTGCGAACCACCCGCCCGTTCGTTCATTCACCTTGCTCCGCTGAGAGCGCACGCCCTAGAACACGGGTCAGGCGGCGGTCTTCTCGGAGCTCGCAGTCCAGCGGGTGACAGGCACGTGCTGGCCGGAGGTGACGTCGCGTAGCGAGGTCCATGTGACAGGCGTTCAAGCAGAAGTTGCCGGGGATGAGTCTCTCCTGGGGTCAGCCTGACTGGGACTCATCAGTGCCCCCTGGCGGCCACCCCAAGCCCTGCACACGGTGGGCGCTCACTTTGGGAGCTCCAGGGGGCTTGGGCTGGTTTTGAGGGTGAAGGCCAGCCCTGTCCTCCTGCAGAGCCTGCTTCAGTGACCTACAGAGAGGCTACTACATAGTGTGGCTGGTGCTGGACTACTTCTCAGATGTGGTCTACATCGCGGATCTCTTCATCCGGTTGCGCACAGGTCAGTGAGCAAGCGAGATACTCAGGTGGGGCCACGGCCCCCGAGTCCACGGCCCCTGAGCCCATGCCTGAGTCCGGAGGTCCAGGAAGCCATCTGGAGGTGGCGTTAGACTCACCTGTCCGACCGGGACTCGGGTTGGCGCCTGGCCTCTCTGAACCTCATGGTCTCAGCAAGCTCAGTGAAGTTGGCACGGGGGGGCGGGGCTGATCCCTTCGCACCCTTGCAGGAAACCTTGCTCTGTGAGTCTCCCGCACCTCCTTGGAAAGGGGCAGCTAGTCCCCTGCAGGGCGTGAGTCTCACCGGAGAGGCATGACTGAGGGCGCAGGTGATGTGCTGGCTTGTGTCTCCACCAGGCTTTCTGGAGCAGGGGCTGCTCGTCAAAGACCCCAAGAAGCTGCGGGACAACTACATTCACACCCTGCAGTTCAAGCTGGACGTGGCGTCCATCATCCCCACAGACCTGATCTATTTCGCCGTGGGCATCCACAGCCCGGAGCTGCGCTTCAACCGCCTGCTACACTTTGCCCGCATGTTTGAGTTCTTCGACCGCACAGAGACACGCACCAGTTACCCCAACATCTTCCGCATCAGTAACCTTGTCCTCTACATCTTGGTCATCATCCACTGGAACGCCTGCATCTACTACGCCATCTCCAAGTCCATCGGCTTCGGCGTTGACACCTGGGTCTACCCCAACATCACCGACCCTGAGTACGGCTATCTGGCTAGGGAGTACATCTACTGCCTTTACTGGTCGACCCTGACTCTCACCACCATTGGGGAGACCCCGCCCCCCGTGAAGGATGAGGAGTACCTATTCGTCATCTTTGATTTCCTGATCGGCGTCCTCATCTTCGCCACCATCGTCGGGAACGTGGGCTCCATGATCTCCAACATGAACGCCACCCGGGCCGAGTTCCAGGCCAAGATCGACGCCGTGAAACACTACATGCAGTTCCGCAAGGTCAGCAAGGAGATGGAAGCCAAGGTCATCAAGTGGTTTGACTACCTGTGGACCAATAAGAAGACCGTGGACGAGCGGGAAGTTCTCAAGAACCTGCCGGCCAAGCTGAGGGCCGAGATCGCCATCAACGTGCACCTGTCCACGCTGAAGAAGGTGCGCATCTTCCAGGACTGCGAGGCCGGCCTGCTGGTGGAGCTGGTCCTGAAGCTGCGTCCTCAGGTGTTCAGCCCCGGGGATTACATCTGTCGCAAGGGGGACATCGGCAAGGAGATGTACATCATCAAGGAAGGCAAGCTGGCCGTGGTGGCTGACGACGGCGTCACTCAGTACGCGCTGCTCTCGGCGGGGAGCTGCTTCGGGGAGATCAGCATCCTGAACATCAAGGGCAGCAAGATGGGCAACCGGCGCACAGCCAACATCCGCAGCCTGGGCTACTCGGACCTCTTCTGCTTGTCCAAGGACGACCTGATGGAAGCCGTGACCGAGTACCCCGATGCCAAGAAGGTCTTGGAGGAGAGGGGCCGGGAGATCCTCATGAAGGAGGGGCTTCTGGATGAAAACGAGGTGGCGGCCAGCATGGAGGTGGACGTGCAGGAGAAGCTGGAGCAGCTGGAGACCAACATGGAGACGCTGTACACGCGCTTCAGCCGCCTGCTGGCCGAGTACACGGGCGCCCAGCAGAAGCTCAAGCAGCGCATCACGGTTCTGGAGACAAAGATGAAGCAGAGCCACGAAGACGACTACCTGTCGGATGGGATGGTCAGCCCCGAGCCCGCAGCTGGCGAGAAGCCGTAGGCCTGCCCCGCGCCGCTGCTCCCACCTTGGCCTTGAGCCCAGGAGCTAGAAGAGTCGTGTAGGGCTCCGTGCCGATACGCACTGCCTCGTGTCCCCTTGAATGCTTCCCTCTCTGTCCCCGGGCTCTTGGCTCAGGCCCCCAAGAGCCCCCTCCAAGTCCAGCTGACAGCCGGGCTCGGGCGCTGTCGGCTGAAGCCTGAGGAAGGACGGGGAGGAGCTGGGCTCTCTTCAGGGCTCTGTCGTGCGATGGGGAGCCCATCTGCCGGACAGCGCGCGCCCCGCTGCCACCGCCCCTCTCTCCGGCTGCTTCGCACTTAGCCACTTCCCACTTGGTTCTGGCTCTTGCTTGGCCAACACATGTTCTCTGTGGCCCGTCACTGCACAGGTCGCGGGGGGCTCTCTACCCTGGCAGGCAGAGGGGGCGGCGGGAAGGCAGCAAGGTGCTGCCTCAGGGCTGCGTCCATCAGGCACTGTCTCCTGCGCTCTTCTCCACCTGCTGCGTGCCAGCCAGGAGCGGGCGTCTGCTGTCTCCTCTGGACCAAGGAGATGCTGCTGCTTCTGGCCCATTCCCGGGCAGGGTGTGTAGGCAAAGTAACTGGCCGTGGGCCAGGGGGCACTGCCCCCGCCCCAGCTGGCGGTGACTGGGCCTGGCCGGCGCCCTGAAGGCAGAGCGTTGGCCGAGCCCCTGAGGCTGTGGGGGGCGCTGTTCAGTTCCTGTCTGCGGTAGAGGCACTTACATGTTAATAAATTTCTTTCAACTGTTTGTGGTCATGGCTCAGCTCTGCGCTTCACATTCTCTCCGTCCTCCTGCCCCTCCTTCCCCACACGAGTCTCCTCTCCCTGTCCAGGACTCCCTCCGCCTGGCGCCACTCTGCTGGCTCCCCTGCCTGCCTCAGCCCTCAGGACGAAGCTCAGGGCCTTCTGGAAGAAGTCCCTGGACTCATCCGCCCCCACGCCCCGCAGCCCACCCCCCTCTAGGTCACCATAGTCCTGAACAGTCCCTGTGCCAGGCTCTTGTCACAGTGCGGCTGCTTGTGATGGCTCCAGTTTCTCCTCCAAACTGTGGGCTCTCTGAGGGCCGGGCCTAGACAGCAGCCCGCCCGGCTGCCTGTCCCGCAGAGACAGGCCGGCACAGAGGAGGTATTCCGAGCTTGTTTGCACCCTGTGAATGCGCCCGGGCCCCTGGGCTCCCATTCGCCGTAGCCATGATGCTGCTGGGGGGTGGGAGAGGATGTTCTGCAGGAGAGAGATTTGCAGCACGGGGGGATGGGCCAGGAGGGCCGGGTGCTGCACCAGCTGCCTCTCGTCTGGCATTCTGGCACAAAGCACGTGAAGTCACCCTCTTCACCTGGGCGCAGTCGGGCGCGCAGAGCACATTCCCCTGGGCGGGACACATCTCCAGAACTTTGTCTTCGGCAGTAGAAACTGCTCCTTTTAGGCCCCGCCCCGGTACCCACCCTCCACTTGCTCTCTCTGAATCGGCCGCACCCTCGCCTCCCGGAAGGGGAACCCTGCGGAGTTCATCCTCCCAGGCCGCCTTCTCGCCCTCGCATTGGGCCTCCGGTCCCGCGGCCTGAGGGCGTCGTGGAGGCCTCGGCTGCGGGTCCTGGAGGGCTCGCCGGTTCCCCTGTCCACGGACTCCGGGTCGCTGCTCCTTCGGCTACGGTGAGTCGTGCCGCTGATACGCCGGGTGGACAGATGTCTGCTCATTCCTGCTTTCACTTCTTTCGAGTAAAGCCCCGCAGGTGGACCTGGTCATCCTATAATAATCCTCTTTTTCAGTTTCTGAGGAAGCTCCAGACCGTTGACCTCAGCGGCTGCGCCATCTTACATTCCCACCGGCTGGGCACAAGGGTTCCAGTTGCTCCACATCCTTGCCAACACTTGCGGCTCCGCGTGGGGGGAAGGGAGGGGGAGGAAGGCCCAGGGCCCCTGGGTGGGAGGTGGCACCTCACTGTACTTTTCATGTTCGTTTCTCTCCATTCGCGGACTCCGTGTCCTGCTTCCTGTGCTTTATGGCCGTTGCGATAGGTTCTTCGGAGCCAAGTCTACCCGGTCCTTTGCTTTATTCTCCAGCGGGTTTGCTCTTGACACTGCGGACTTCCCGGACTGTCTCGCGGTCCAGACAGGAGCGTGCCAGGCTGTGGCTCGCCCTTTCTCCAGCCTCACGGCACCTGCCGACCCAGCATTTGGGCGATGCCTCGAGTGCCTTTGCTTTCTTGAGCTTCCTTCCGGGCCTTTTCTCACTGTTCCCTCTGCCCGGGTCACCCCTGTGACTTCTGCTCCTCCGAGGCTCAGCTCACCACCCTCTCCTCTGAGCCACACACGGCCTTCTGTGACAGCCCCTTGCAAATGGGCACGCACGGGACAGTGTCTGTCTGCGCCCCGGGCCCGGCCCCACGCTGTTGTTCTCTGCAGGAGCGTGACTCCTGCCTGTTGCTGGCCGCTGCCCCCACGTCTCTGCCGTAACTGGCTTTAAGAACTGAAGTACATTTTCCATTATGTCTTGTATTTATTCAGCACAGTCTGATGTTCCCAGTTCTTAATTTAAAAATGTTTAAATAGGAATGTTTTTTATTTGCCTCTGAAAATACCCACCTAAGGCAAATTGCCCTATTTGTATTTGGCCATCAATTTGCTTTTCTCTGCCTTGGTGACCTTCTATGGAAAACAAAAGCTGCAGCTCCTGCCTGCCCCCTCCCCGCCCTCCCTCCCCCTCCACTCTCACCCCGGTGGCCCCTGCCAGGCCAGTCCTGCTGCCCCACCCTGGTTAACCTGTATCCCAGCCTCAGCAGCTGCCGCTGTCCCCTGCCTGGAGCTTCCAGCGAGTCTGGTACTTGCTCCCTTCTCCAGGGGAGGCTGAGGCCGAGAGAGGCCCCTCCCCCTCCCTGGGGCCCCACCAGGTGGTGGAACCCCAGTGCAGGAAGCCTGGGGACCCCGCCGCCAGAGGGCGTGTGGAACTCAGGAAAGGGTGGTGGGCGGTGCCCGGGAACCCCCAGCTCACAGTGGGCAGAGCAGGGGCCACTGGGGCAGGGTGCTGGCCGCCGTCAGGGCCTCAGCGAGCTGGAGGGCCAGGTCACTGTCCCCAAGTGCCCACGCGTGGTCCGCCCCCAGGCCCTCAGCACTCCCTGGGTCAAAGGCCACGGCCCGGGGCAAGCCCTGGAGGGCGGGTGTGGAGAGGCTGTCAGCATTGAGATGCCTGGACTGGGAACGATGGTTGGCATTCCTTTCTGTGTGTGTTCAGAAGAGTGTTTTAGTGTCCGCAGGAGCCTTGGTATCCTGGATATTATTGCTTAGCATAAAAGTAAGGAATAAAGGTGAAGTCATTAAAGACTGGTCTAAAGAAAATGATGATGCAGAGAGCTGGACCAGAGGCCTGCTCCACAGCTGGTCTTCTCCTGAGTCAACTTCCTCCCCTGTTCCCCACGTCAGTCACGGGAGGTGGGGGGTGGAAGGGCACCCTCCCAGATGCTTAGCACAAGCCCCTTAAGTCCTACTGGGCGCCTCCGTCTCCTCATCCAACCAGTCCTGTGAGCAGGAGATCCGCTGCTCAGTGCTCAGTCAAATCAGAACCGCGCCTTTCCCCGCCTCCCTGTATACCCGGCCCGGGCCCCCTGGGGACAGTTGCCCACAAACCATTGTCCTTGTTTCCGTCCTGCACCCGGCGTCCAGCCTCCAGGGCATTAGCAAATGAAAATCCTGTCACATCCCCACAAGACCTCGCGGTGATATCCTTCATTCTAGTAAAATCCCAGCTCATGGAGACCCGCGGGCCCCGTCTCCTGCTGCGTGTCTTGGGTCTCCCCCTGCAGCTCTCTGCCCAGCTTGCCAGTCTCCTTTCAGGTCCACACGTGGCCACGAGGCACCTCCCTGTCATGGTGACCTTGCGCTTGATGTTGCTCTGAGCCTGCTTGGCTGGTCCTGTCTTCAGGACTCCGAAGTGGTTCTCACGGAGCTCCACGAGTACATGCCCCTGTCCCCCCACGTCCCTGGCATGCCTCCCCTCATCACCCTGCTCGACTTAGAGCGTCTACCACCCTGTAATCATCTTGTTTCCTTGTTGGCTGCGTTTCTCTGTTTGTCAACACCGCGAGATAGACGTGCCTGCTGTTCCTCACAGCTCGGCCAGCCCCTGACATCCATTATCATGTCGCTGAGAGCCGGAGGTCCCTGAGGGGCTGCTGCTTCCCTCTCTTCAGTGGGTTGGCTGGCCAAGCCCCAGCTTCCTGTCCCTCCGCCCATCTTCATACGCCCTGAGTGTTCTCCCCCACATCTCTGCCTGCCACATCCTTCTCGTCCTTTCCAAGGCCCTCATACCACTCCTCCCGAGGCGTTCCTTGACGAGGAGGCGCCGCACCCCTGTGCCCGCTGCTCTGTGCATCTGTGTCTTCTCCTTCTTCCTTGGGGACACATCTGTGTGGGACTCATTGTGCCCGATCTGTGGTGTGGGTGGGTGGGGTAGACTTGGTCCCTAGGAGGTCCTGCTGAAGGCAGAGCTCCCCAAGCTGAACATACTGGCTATGGGTTCACCTTCCCCTTGGTGGGGACTGAGCTGCCAAATAGTAAGTGACTGCTTCTCTCCCAAGTGGACGTCTCCTTGGAAGGACAGTTGAGTCCTGATTTAGGGCCCGGCTTGCAGCCAGCGACAGACAGCCCAGCGCCGATGCTGTGAAGCGGCTTTTCTGGCTGAAAGCTCTGCTAAGCGCTGGTCCAGGGGCTGCGCTGTGGCTGGAGCTGGGCCACGCCTGCCGAGGGCCCGAGGGGCACTGGCGTGGAGCCCAACTCTGGGAGCTGGATTCTGTCCCGTTGTTTGCTGGGGACGTGGAAATTCCTACCGTGCACGCCATGGAGAGACGCTCCTCTTTGCGTCCCCTCAGAGCGCCCTTTCTGCCTCTTCACACTGAGCAGAGTGCTCAGGGGGCATGAGCGCGTTCTACTGTGCCCCGATAGACAGGTTTGTCCCTCGGAAGCTGCCAGCGCTCAGGGTGCGGCTGTGAAGGCTGCAGAGTTGCTGTCCGGACACACAGCTGCTGGGGCAAGGGTTGGCTGATCATGGACAGGTTTCCTTCTCTTTGGGGCTCAGTTTCCCAGTGAGCTTAAAGGAAGCGTTCCTCGGGGCACTTTGTGGCCCTCCCGAAGGCTGAGGAGAGTGGGTT